TACTGGTAATCGATAATTGATGTAAGCTTTCTTCACTCTTTTTTATTCTTTTTTCTTTTTTTTTATTAATTAATTTTTGTTACAGATGTTTCTCCTTTTCACCCCACTGATTCCCCCCTCCCCCACCCTCCCTGCCCTTTCCCCAGTTTGTTGTCCATGTCGACTGTTCATGCATACATGCATATAAGTTCTGTGGTTTATCTCTCCCCCACCACCCCCCTCTTTAGGGGATTGTCAGTCTGTACCCCACTTCTGCATCTCTAGGACTACCCCATTCCTCAGACTGTTATGTTCATTATATTCCACAAATAAGTGAGATCATATAAAACTTGTCTTTCTCTGTTTGGCTTGTTTCACTTAGGATGATACTTTCAAGGTCCCTCCATGTAGTCTCAAAGGATAAGAGATCTTTCTTTCTTACAACTTCGTAGTACTCCATTGTGTATATGTACCACAGTTTTTTTTATCCTTATTCTTTTTTCTTTTTGCTCCTCTGACTGGATGATTTTAAATGAACTATCTTATAGTTCACTAATTCTTTTGTCTGCTTGGTTAAATCTGTTGTTGTAGGTCTCTCTCACATTGGTGTTTCTCTCTTTCTCTCTCTCCCTCCATCTCTTCTCCTCTCTCTAAAAATCAATGGAAAACTTGATGTTCTCTCTCATTGATGTTTTTATCTTTTTTCTCTCTCCCTTTCTTTGTCACTAAAGTCAATAAAGAAAAAAAAATTATAAAAATTTTGTGGACATGTATTTGTTGACATGTTAACACATTCACAATGTATTGGGGAAAGAGGGGGTTACTTTTGAGATGGTCCCATTTTTGGAAATAAATATATGCCAAAATGCTAAAAATAAATAAATATCAACAGAAAAATATCCTCAGGTGAGGATTAACACAACAACAACAACAAAAATCCTCGGGTTGCAGTAATCAGCCTGGTACCGGTTTCCATAAGAATCCTGTGCTCAGAGGTACCCCCCTGTAGCCTAGGTTTGCTTATGGTGTTTATTGGAATCATGGGACCTCTGGAGGCACCTACATCTGTAGGAACCAGCCAGTGCTGGGATGTGCTGGGAGAATGGTGTCACAAGGGCCATCTAGGCTCACTGGAGCCAACTGATACTATGATGATAACTGCATGGGTTAACAGGATCCCACTAGTCCTGGTTCTATGGAAGTGGTCAGTACTGGGGTGGTCTAGGAGTCTGAGTTTGTCAGAGTCTATTGGGATTCTGGGGCTACAAAAGCTGGGGCCATGGGAGCCAGCAGGTACTATGGTAGCTTGAGGGCCTGGGTTCATTGAGGCTGTCTAGGACCCCGAAGCCAAGGAATCTTCTTGGAGCTGTAATAGCTACCTGGGACTGCTGAGCTACCTGGTGCTGCTTCAGCTGACAGGCACCTGGGTTCATAAGGGCCCACAGAGAGCCTGGAACTGAGGAAGCCAGCTAGAACCACTGAAGATGCCTGGGGTCACTGGTGCTGGTAGATGCCAGGGTGAATTGGGGCCTGGATTTTAGGAGATTTCTGGGAGCTTGGTGCTGCCAGAGTTGCCTGAGGCCTGGGAGCCTCCTGAGACCACTAGAGCCAGTAGGTTTCAGAGTGAGCTGGAGGCCTCAATTCCTGGGACCCTGCTACTGTCAATGCTGCCAGGGCCATGGAGCCCTCAGATGCCAGGTTGAGCTGGGGGTTTGGATCTGTGGAAGCCCACTGGGAACCTAGTGTTATGGATGACACCTGGTACAGTGGGAGTCATCTGAGGCCATGAGAACTATTTGTTTCTCTCTTCAGTTCTGTCAATATTTGTTTCCTATATTTAGGACTTCTTGTCCTGAGGCTCCCATGGGACTATAGCTTTAGTGCCTATCACAGCTTTCAGCAGCCTCCAACCCGATGTCCAAATTATGCCCCATTTTATTCAAGTCTCTGGGTCAAACAAGACAGAAACTAGTCCTTCAGGTGGCTTAAACAATAGCCAGAGTATTATAAGCAAATTACACTTTTTCCCTTCCATCCTGATGGAAGAGCTGAGAATTGGGTGGCTTCCTCCTGACCATGCCATGTTGCACCAAAAGTGCAAGATCAATGTGCCAGCAGAGTTGGTTTCTTCAGAGGCCTCTCTCTTTGATTTGTAGATGGCTATTTTCTCTCTGTATCTTCATGTGGTTTCCCTTCTGTGTGTATTTGTGTCTTCTTATAGGGATACAAGTCTATTGGATTAGGGCCCACCCTAATCATTTATTTTAACATAATTACTTCTTTAAATTTGGACCCTATATCCAAATGCAGTCACATTCTTAGGTACTGGTGATTATAACTTTAACATAGGAATTTTGAGAGGACACTATTTAGCCAACAATAATGGACAAGGAAGAGTGATGGTTGAATTAGAATAGTAGAGGCAGCCGTGGAGAACAGGTGCTATAGAGGCAAACTTGGAGAGTCTTTGTGGCTGACGTGATGCTGGGACAGTGAGGAACAAGCAGGCATCTAAGATGTATTTTAGCATATGGTTGGGGTACTTAGATTGAGGCCACTTTCCTGTTTCTCAGTCTTCGTCTTTCATGTCTTTGCTTTCTAAAGTGGCATCTTTTAAAGTCATAGGGAGAGAGTGGATTTTCACTATAATTTCAAGAATGACGAAGGCATTAAGGTTCTTTAAAAGTATGTTTTTATTGATTTTTTTAGAGATAGAGGAAGGAAGAGAGAGATAGAAACATTGATGTGGGAGAGAAACGTTCATTGGCTGCCTCCTGCACACCTGATAGGGATTGAGCTGGAAACTCAGGCATGTGCCCTGACTTGGAATCTAACTGGGACCCCTCAGTCCATGGGACTGAGCACAGTTCACTGAGACACACAGGCTGGGCGAAGGTGTTAATGTTTCAAAGGATATGGAGCCCTGGCCAGTTTGGCTCAGTGGTGGAGCGTTGGCCAGTGGACGGATGAGTCTCAGGTTCTATCTGGTCAAGGGCACGTACCTTGGTTGCGGTTCATCCCCGGCCCTGGTCGAGATCATGCAAGAGGCAACCAGTCCATGTGTCTCTCTCACATCGATATTTCCCTCTCTCTCCCTCCCACTCTATCTGAAGATAAATAGAAGAATATCCTCAGGTGAGGATTTTTTTAAAAAGGCATATGGAATTTATAATCTAGTCTAACATTTCCATTTGGGGGATGGGCAAACTGAGGTGACTTAGTCACATCCTATTAGTTCATGTGGATTTCCCCTGCACCCTTTTCACTTCTTTAGGACTAAGGACCCGGAGTCATGTTTCCCCAGTTTTCTAAGACTTCTGGATCCATTTGTGGGCATAATTTCTCCAGTCAAAAATATATAAATAGTCTTGGTACCAGGACAGGTAGCTTCTAAGGATTGTCTGCAGCCATTGATGTGGTCTGGATTGAAGCTGAAGTATTATTTGGAGTCACAGTGTCTAGGTAATCTGAGATCTGGGCTCTGATCCATTCTAGATATCCCAAAGACATTCCATTAGGTGTGGGGACATAAATGTTACTTCATAGTATTACAGTGGAGGAAATGAGAGAATTGATGTGAAAGTACTTTGAGAAATGGGTTGAAGGGTAAAAGCTGCCATTATTGTGATGATTGTTGTACTTTGTCTTTCGACTGTATTCTCCAGATAATTATGTCAATAGGGACTAGAAATAATTTTCAACTTTAGATCCGACTGACATTGGCCTCTGAACTAAGACTGTCTGCTAAGTGGGAGCAACTTCCTCCTTAACTGCAACTCTGGACCATTTATATTTGTGCCTGGATATACCAGTTAATGCTTGGTTTGTTACTTACTTTAACCACAGGGAGGCTCACAAAGCTCTTCCTTTCACCACACCTTCCACATTAAGGAAGTAAGTTCTGGGTAGGAAGAGTAAAGGGAAGGAAGCTTTCTGCAGCAATCATTTTCCACTTTGAGGAACCATAATGTCTTCCTTGGGCACCAAGGGTTCAACTAGATATCTGTGCCTTTTGGGGCAAGTCATTTGAACTCTCTGAGACTTAGTTACCTCTCCTGGGAAGGGGACATAATACACTATACAGGCATACCTCATTTTATTGTGCCTCACAGATATTGTATTTTTGTTTTTTTTACGAATTGAGCAACCACCAGCAAAATAGTTATGACTTGCTGAAGGCTCAGATGATTGTTAGCATTTTTTTTGGTAATGAAGTATTTTAATTAAGGTATGTACATTGTTTTTAGACATAATGCTATTGCACAATCAATAGACTGCAGTATAGTGTGAATATAATTTTTATATGCACTGGGAAACCAAAACATTTGTATCACTTGTTTCAATACTCACTTTGTTTGGATGGTCTGGAACTGAACCTGCAGTATCTCTGAGATATACCTGTAGTTCCAACCACATGGAGCAGTTGTTAGACAAAATGGTTATGTTAGGTGTTTAGAATGAGGTCTTGCACATAGAAAGTTCTCAGTAAATGTTGAGGGTTTTGTTTTTAATATTTTCCCCTTCCATTTGGTTAGTGCAGAAATGATTGCCTCCTGCCAGAGGGCATGACAATCTTTGGGAAGAAAACTGTGATTAGAAGATTAGGATGAGGGATGAATTCTAAGAGTAAGACAACGAGGCAGAGTCTTGAGCTAAATCTTGAACTAAATAGGTGAAAGAAGACCTCTGGATCACACTGGCTTGTCTCAACAATCCAGGATGAGACATTAGATTAAAGTGTGTGGCCAAGGTGGAATTTGCATTAGTGTGGAAAACTTCCACATTCAACCTAGTAGCACCTAGTCAGAGGCTTAGGAATTCAGGATCCAGATTCCATAAAACTGTCTTACCATGAGAACTAATATTAGCAGTCTTATCTTAGAACAACCTAGAGATGTTAGCTACAGAGGACTAGAGAGACAATAAAATGATAGCTGAATTTAGCTTATATTTTCTTTAATGGACCATGTAAGTATCCAGCAGGAATCTAAAATCTAAGAATCATGCAGGTGCCTGGATAGTCATTTCACTGACTCATTGTAAGGTCTGTTAAAATTCTTGTCACGCATCTGCAATAGATAGTTAGTTGCACTTGCCATAGTCTTACATGTCATCTCTTGTTTCTCCGGAAGGCTTGCTGATCTCTTACTTAGGAAACGGAGGCAACAAACTCTTCTACCCACACAGTTTCCTTTTTTCCTTTCATTTTCTTTGCAAGTTGGCCTGCACTGGCCAGTTCCATAATTGCACATTTGGACCCATCCAGCTATCAAAATAAACAGAAATAAACAAACAAATACATTACAAAGAGTAAGGACTAGTCTACTAAGGATGTAGGTAGTTGTAGTAATGATGGTGCATTAAAAATGCCTACAGTTGGTCCTGAGCTGTAGTAGATATAATTGGTTATCTTTTCTCCTTTAGTTGGATTTTATTTCTATGCTTATGATGTTTCCATCTCCATAATTTTTCAGTCTCATCAACACTGTTTCCTCCTTGTCCCCATATACGGGTGCTTGTCTAGGAGTGGGCCTAAACCTTCAATTATCTGTTTTCCTCTCTCCCTTTATTATTCACTCAACAGTGATTTGTTGGGCACTTATCATTTGCCAAGTACTATTCTAGTGCCCCAGATGATGCCTAGACCAGCACTTTGACATTGAATGATAAATTCATATTGCTGACCTGTAGGCTAATTTTCTGGATGGTATAACACTGCCCTTCTATGATTTATTGTTTGTGACTCAGTCCTACTTAGGTCAATAAAACACAAAGTGCAGACTCAGCTTTCCCAGCACATTGAGTTCAGTTGAGAGATCACAGTATCTTGGTTTAAATTAAAGATTCTCTCTACTTGTTTTTTCTCCTAACACCCCACCTGGTAGAGAATTTCCTATTCTCTCTTTCTTACCAGGATGTTCAAGCTGGAAAAGTTAGAGTCAAGATAACGCTGATTCCATGAGTCAATATGCATATTCCTTCTCCAAAGTGTCTTTTGCATCTGAAAATCCCTCCTCTATTCAAGTTGCCCTCACCAGAGTTTAAGGTAGTCTCAAATAAAGCAAGTTACTCAAAAGAAGCAAACTTCTTTTGCAACTAGAACAACTGGGTGATTCGCAAAGATGTTCAGTTTGAAAAGCTGACCCAAGGAAGATGCAATTTCCAACAGCAATGACGCACAAAAAAAACATGGAATTAAAAATCATAAACTTTAATAACAACAAAAGAAATTGAAGATGTAATCAAGACTCTCCCAGCAAACAAAAGCCCAGGCCCGGACGGCTTCACAGGGGAATTTTACCGAATATTCAAAGAAAAACTAATAACCATTCTCATCAAACTATTTCAAAAAATTCAAGAAGAAGGGCGACTTCCAAACTCGTTTTATGAGGCCAGCATAATTCTAATTCCAAAACCAGAAAAAGACACTACAATGAAAGAAAACTACAGGCCAATAACCCTGATGAACATAGATGCCAAAATCCTGAACAAAATACTAGCAAATCGGATCCAGCAACACATCAAAAAAATTGTTCACCATGCCCAAGTTGGATTTATCCCAGGGATGCAAGGCTGGTACAATATTCACAAGTCAATAAATGTGATACACCACATAAACAAAATGAAAGATAAAAATCATATGATCAGCCCTGGCTAGTTTGGCTCAGCAGTTAGAGCATCAGCCTGCGGTCCAGAGAGACCCAGGTTCGGTTCCCACTAAAGGTGCATACCTTGGTTGCAGTTTGTCCTCGGCTCTGGTTGGTCGTTCGGGTGGCAGCCACTCGATGTGTCCCTTTCATGTCTATGTTTCTCTCTCTTTCTCTCTCTCTCTCTCTCTCTCTCTCTCTCTCTCTCTCTCTCCCACTCTCTCCCTCCCATTCTATCTGAACAACAACAAAAAAATCATATGATCATATCAATAGATGCTGAAAAAGCATTCAACAAAATCCAGCACCCATTTCTGATGAAAATGCTCAGCAATCTTGGAATAGAGGGACCATATCTTGACATGATAAAGGCCTTATATAAAAGACCTACAGTCAACATCATACTCAATGGGCAAAAACTAAAAGCATTTTCCTTAAGAACAGGTACAAGACAAGGATGCCCACTTTCGCCACTCTTATTTAACATAGTATTGGAAGTCTTAGCCACAGCAATTAGACATGATGAAAAAATAAAAGGGATCCAAATTGGTAAGGAGGAAGTGAAACTGTCATTATTTGCAGATGACATGATACTATACATAGAAAACCCCAAAACTCCATCAAAAATTTACCAGACTTAATAAGTGAATTTGGCAAAGTAGCAGGATATAAAATTAACGTCAATAAATTGACGGCATTCTTATACACCAATGATGAACTCATAGAAAGAGAAACTAAAAAAACAATCCCATTTACCATCGCAGCAAAAACATTAAGATACCTAGGCATAAACTTAACCAAAGAAATAAAGAACCTATTTGCAGAAAACTACAGGACATAGAAAAAAGTAATAAAGGAAGATATAAAAAAGTGGAAGCACATACCTTTTTCATGGACTGGAAGAATTAACATCATTAAAATAAAATATAGATACCCAAAGCTATCTATAGATTCAATGTAATCCCCATGAAAATACCAACAACATACTTCACAGAACTAGAACAAATACTTCAAAAATTCATATGGAACCAAAAGACCCTAAATAGCCACAGAAATGTTGAAAAAAAAAGAACAAAGTTGGAGGGATCACATTACCAGATTTCAGGTTATACTACAAACCACTGTAATCAAAACAGCTTGGTACTGGCACAAGAACAGGCAGGTAGATCAATGGAACAGAATAGAGAACACAAAAATAGACCCAAGACAATATGCTCAATTAATATTTGACAAAGGTGGCAAGAGCATAGAGTGGAGTAAAGACAGCCTCTTTAATAAATGGTGTTGGGAAAATTGGACAGCTACATGCAAAAAAAACAAAAAAAACAAAAACTAGAGCATTAACTTACACCATACACAAGAATAAACTCAAAATGGATAAAAGACTTAAATGTGACTCATGAATTCATAAAAATCCTAGAAGAAAATGTAAGCAACAAAATTTCAGACATCAGTTCAGCTGGTGTGGTTCAATGGTTGAGCATCGACCCAAGCAGCAGGAGGTCTCCGGTTCGATTCCCGGTCAGGACACATGCACAGGTTGTGGGCCCGATCCCCAGTCATGGGCACGCAGGAGACTGCCAATCGATGTTCTCTCTCCTCGATGTTTCTATCTCTCTCTCCCTTTCACTTTCCCTCTCTCTCTGAAATCAATAAAGAAAAAAATTTTAGACACCATACACAGCAGAATTTTTACTGATACAGAAACAAAGGAAAAAATAAAAACATGGGACTACATCAAACTAAAAAGCTTCTGCATTCTGCACAGCAAAAGAAACAACCATCAAAATGGAAAGGGAACCCACTGTATGGGAGAGCATAACTGCCATAGATACATCAGATTAGGGGTTAATTTCCAATATATATAGAGTGCTCATACAACCCAACAAAAGGAAGACAAAGAACCCAATTAAAAAATGGGCAGAGGAACTAAATAGACACCTCTACAAACAGGATATTCAAATGGCTAAGAGACATATGAAGAAATGCTCAACATCACTAATCATCAGAGAGATGATTAAGACAACAATGAGGTATCACCTCACACCTGTCAGAATGGTCACCATCAACAAATCATCAAACAACAAGTGTTGGCGAGGGTGTGGAGAAAAGGGAACTCTAGTACACTGCTGGTGGGAATGCAGACTGGTGCAGCCACTATGGAAAACAATATGGTGTTACCTCAAAAAATTAAAAATTGAACTTCTATTTGACCCAGTGATCCCACTTCTAGGAATATACCCTAAGAAGCCTGAAACACCAATCAGAAAGAATATATGTACCCCCATGTTTGTAGCAGCACTATTTATAATAGCTAAGATCTGGAAACAGCCCAAATGTCCATCAATAGACAAATGGATAAAAAGTTGTGGTCCATATATACACAATGGAGTACTCTGCAGCAGTAAGAAAGAAAGATCTCTCATCCTTTGAGACAACATGGAGGGACCTGGAAAGTATCATTCTAAGCGGACTAGCCAAACAGAGAAAGATGAGTATCATATGATCTCACTTATTTGTGGAATATAATGAACATAACAGTCTGAGGAATGGGGTAGTTCCAGAGATGTGGAAGTGGGGTACAGACTGACAATCCCCAGAAGAGGGGGTGGAGAGGGAGAGATAAACCACAGCACTTATATGCATATATGCATGAACATGGACAACAAAGCTGGGGACAAGGCGGGGAAGGAGGAGGAGGGGGTATCAGTAAAGAAAAAAAGAGAAACATCTGTAACAAAAATTAATTAATTAATTAAAAAAATAAAATAAAATTCATAAAATTTAGAATCACAAGGAAGCCTAAGTGGAAACATTTCCATTAAAAGGTTATTTACCCCTTGTCTATGAAGTCTCTCGGACAAGTGGTAAATATTGTTAGAGAGCTCTGGCCATGTTCAATTTGGAAACCAGAATCTTCTGTTCTAACTCCAGCACCACCTTGAAACTATAGCTATCACATTCAACATCAACCTACATATTTTTCACTATATATTCTAAGACAAGAACGAGATGCTTCCTCTGATTGCTTTAAAGAAGCATTCAGCCCTGGCCAGTTTGGCTCAGCAGTTAGAGCATCGGCCCACGGACCAGAGAGTCCCGGGTTCAGTTCCCACTAAGGGCATGTACCTCCATTGCAGTTTTCCCCAGCCCTGGTTGGGGTTGTGTGGTTGGCAACCAGTCGATGTGTCTCTCTCACATCGATATTTCTCTCTCTCTCTCTTCCTTCCCTCTCTCCCTCCCGCTGTACCTAAAGTAAATGCAAAAAAAAAAAGTGCTCAGGTAGGGATAAAAAAAAAAAAAAAAAGAAAAAGAAGCATTCAAAGCCAAACAACAATAGAGAAGTGAAGTAATGGGACTGGTTACTTCAAGAAGTTGTATCTATTGGAAATGAAATTGAAGTGAAAGATGCTTGGGATGAGAATCTATGAACATTTGGGCCAAGGATAATAAGAACAATAGAGATGCTGTGGTTGCTTCTGCATATAGAAGAGATTTCATGCAAGACACCCTGGCTTTTGCTGATATTCACCAGGTTCCTCAATGAGAAACATCATCATGGTCACAGGTGACAGACTACCCTTATACTACCCTTATAAATGGAGCATATTCATTATAAGGCTTTTCACCAAATCTCAGCCATCCTGTGGACTCTCCTAACTCCCAGACATGTTCAATTTTCTACTGATTCAGTGAGTAGGACCCCATTCTTACTCCCTTTTCCCTCCTCTCCATAGTCTGGTTACCTGGGGAAGCCTGATCCAGGACCAAAAGGACAGCTAGGGCCAGGAACAAAAGTTTAATGTATCCTGAGAGGGGTGAGGAATGATCCAGCAGCATACTGAATGTACCAGGGAAGGTAAGTCTCTACTCTGAATTTTATTGATGTGGGTAGGGCTGAGTCATGGACAGTAAATCAAAGAGCAAAATGTTTCACCACCCAGAACATCAGCCTGCAGGTCAGCAATACAAATTGTGTTTAGAGTCTTTCTCTAGACATCATCTGGGACAGCAGAAGGCATTAGCAGAGGATGTGCAAGTCCTACACAAATTGTGGCATTGTGGGGAGAATGGACCCACTTTCCAAGGAGCCTTTCTTGTTCCTCTTCTTGAGTAGTTAATCCTCTCCCTATGTTCTCACACTCTCTCTTCTTCCTTTTTTTCTGTTATAATGTTTGCCATTATGAGTTGGAACTAAGTATTTCTCTAGTTCATCTCCCCTATCGGACTAACACCACTGAGGGCAACTTTTAATAGACAGTGAGATGCCTGACAGTAGGGACCCCTGAAGATTTCTGTATGTCCAGAGTATGCAGTGAACATTTGTTGAAACCACTGAATGGATGAATGCCTGTATAGTATTCACTCATATCTTGATAGATTTTAGAATTGGCATTTCTCAGTTGACAAAATGCAGGCCCAGAGAGTAGAAAAGAATTGACTAGGGTCCCACACTGTGAGAAAGAAAGAAAGAAACTGAGAGCCCTCATAACCCAAGTCCTAGTCTAGTTCTTTCTAACTCTGCATTTTCCTCCTTATTTCCTACCCTAACTCTCTAATATTAGCTGCTTCTGGGCCTTTCTTAGACTCCAGCCTCAAAGAATAGAGCAAAAACATTTCAGGTGACTTCTCCAACAAAGAGGGTGTGGAAGGGGGCACTGCCTGGGCTCCATAAGAAAGTTTGTGAATCCTCTGGATTTTCTTTTTTGGGGTCCTTGGTCTGTCTTATAGTTATTTTATACCTTTTGTTGGGTCCAGTGCTCTTCTATTTTGCTCTCTTCCTCCTACATTCAGCAAGTATTAGGGATAACCTTCTCCAGAAAGCAGTGAGCATGAATGCAGACACTGAACTTTCACACACAAGACCCCTAGGACCTTCACATGATCCCTGACAAGCAGATGTGATTTTCTCAGGGTGATACAGTGCTTAGGAACAAGGTCTAGATTCAGGTTTATCTGTTCTCAGAGCACATGTTCTTTCTATCATCCCAGAGGACTGTGGCTGAGTAATGATGTAAAGGGAGGCCTGTTTAATATTTCTTGTTCTTTTTTGGGGGGTGAAATTACTTAAGATCTATTCCTTTAGCAAATTTGTGTAAACAATGCAACATTATTAACTATAGTCACATTGTTGTACAATAGAACTTCAGAACGTTTTCATTTTGCATAATTGATGCTTTATACCCCTTGACCAACATCTCTTCATTTTCCCCTCCATACAGCCCCTGGAACCACTATGTACTCTCCACTTCTATGAGTTTGATTATTGAAATTCCACATATAAATGAGATTATGCACCTGTCTTTTCTTTCTTCATCAGACTTATTTCCCTTAGCATAATTAATGTCTTACAGGTTCATACATGTTGCCATAAATGGCAGGATTTCCTTTTCTTAAAATGCTGATTAGTATACTCCTGCATGTATATACCACATTTTCTTTATCCATTCATCTTTCGACAGACATTTAGGTTGTTTCCATATCTTGGTTATTGTGATAAATACTACAATGAAAATAAGAGTGTAAATATCTCTTCATTATAATGATTTCAGCCTGGCCAGTGTGGCTCAGTTGGTTGAGCATTGTCCCAGGTACGTTGTTGATTTGATTCCAGCTCAGGGCACATGCTTGAGTTACGGGCTCAATCCCCAGTAGGGGGTGTGCAAGAGGCAGCCAATCGATGTTTTTCTCCCATTGATGTTTCTTTCTCTCCTTCTTTTTCCTTTCTCTGAAATCAATGAAAACATTTTTTAAGAAAAGATAGTGATTTTATTTCATGCAGATATATGTCCAGAAGTGGGATTGCTGGATTGTACATGGTAGTTATCTTTATAATTTATTGACATGATTGTATGAACATGTTCTCAAATTTTTATTGAGCATCATGTACAAGGTACTGGTCTAGCAACTTGGGACATAACCATGAGCAAGATCAAGGTATCAGGACTATATGTGCATTATAGTTGTTATGACTGAATATAAATAAATAAATAAATAAATAACTCAATAATTCGGAAGGAGAGCAAAAAATATGTAAAATAATTTCCAAGAGTTTAAGTGATAGGAAGAAAATAAACAAATTAGGGTAAGGAGTGGTCTCATGAATTGAGACTCAAGGATTATTTCTTTTTTTTTTTTTTTTAGATTTTTTTATTTTTTATTTTTTTTATCCTCACCCGAGGACATTTTTCCATTTTTTACTCAGATAGAGCGGGAAGGAGAGAGAGGAAGAGAGAGAAACATCGACATGAAAGGGACACATCGAGTGGCCGCCACCCACACGAACCAACCAGGGCCAGGGACAAACTGCAGCCAAGGTACATGCCCTTAGCGGGAACCGAACCCGGGTCTCTGTGGACCACAGGCCGACGCTCTAACCGCTGAGCCAAACTGGCCAGGGCTCAAGGATTATTTCTAAAGATATGGCATTTGAGTGAAAGATAAGGAAAAAGAGTACTTTAGGCTAAGGTAGACCTGTATGCTGGGGAGGTCTTCATGGTGAAAGAATTTAGGCCAAGATACACTTGGAAAAAGATAATCAATTTTTCCCAGTTTGCTAAAGACTTTCTTGATTTTGGTACTCTAATTCCCATGATCTGGAAAGATCCTCAGTCCCAGGCAAACTAGGATGGTTTGTCTACTTAACAGGAGACCTGAGGTCCATTGAAATATGAGGTCTACTGAAAGATCAACAGTCTGATGGTCAATATCCAAACTACAGCCATGATTACTGGCAGCTTAAGACAAAAATAAAAAGAAATAGAGGATTAAACATTTTTTATTCTGAAACATTTAGGCATCTGGTTCTCTGTAACACCCTAGCCTTAGTCCAACACGTTAATAATTAATCAGCCGTATAGTTAATAACTTCTTCTCTGTGATATCAAAGAGAAAACTTGCTGACATATCAGTTGCCATACAAACAACACTCACATGTATATAGGCACACAGAACACAGACACCCTACACACAACTAGCAATCATGGAAAAAATGAAGATTTGGAGAGGTTTGCTATGAGATCACCATAGTTGGAAGTTGGATTTGGGGGTGGGAAGAACATTGGAAAGATAAGTAGACTTTGTGATGCAGCTTTTTATTTTATATGATGTGTTCTCAAGGCATGTCCCACTTTCATCTCTATCTAGTAAAATCAGAGTTTGTGCTAAATGAGATATTTTCTAACTTTAACTGGGTTAGTTCCTAGTTGAAGCCTTAAACAAAATTTGACCTCATATTCAGACAGATTTAAGTCAGAACTTATAATCAAAGGTGAGGGAACTGGAAGGGTGGACTTATCTGGAACTTTATATGTGCCTTAATAAATTCTTCGATGTATGATAGTGGTGGTTCAGGCATTATTAAATCAAAATCTTATCTAAACCAAAAAGACAGCTCCACACTGTGGCCTTCATTTGGGGTGGGGGCCGTGAAAAAATACACAAACACACAAATGTTCATTGAAACCAAATACTACACCATATATTTTAATACATGTGAGAAAGACAGACAAAGAATTTAAGCCCAATAAAGAGAGTCTCTGTATCTTCTATACACTTCTCTTTCCACATTTCTAATTGTAAGGAGGCAACTCTCTTGTTTCTTGTCTTGGTAGAGCATTATGTCCATCTCCATGACATCCAATCCCCAACAGAATTGTCCCTGGTGAAATGACATCAGTAGAATTGGCTCCCTGGATATTATTCCCAATAGTTATCTCTAGTGTTCCATAGCCAGCAGGAAACGTTACTTAGTTGTACTGTCGCTGCTTTTAGGAGTATGTACCAAAGGTGGTGTAGAAATTTTCTTCTTGTAAGTTGTGGTCCAAATTACTGAGACATGTTTGTTTGAATTAATTGTTACTGAATCATCAAGCAAAGTTTCAGGGGAAACAGACAAACCATTTGAAATGGTAAAATCTGTAGGGGTAAGGGGAGGTATTGGCCTTTGAGTGTATTCCTCGAAGTTTAAGGGAGTGCAACAATTTAGTTTGTTCATACAAAGAATTCTGTACCTTTCGACATGTAAACACTTCCTTCTGCAGTGTCCTACATTATTCTTCCAGCATCTTTGGACCCCCCAGCCAGCTGCAAACAATAAACAAGTCAAATTTTAAAGTCTATCAACAACATGATAACGTATGCATTAAAAATTGTGACATAAGCCACCAATAAACAAAGGAAATTGGGGGTGGAGAGAAGGGAAAGAGGAGGAGGAAGAAGAGACAGAGAGGGTAGACATACTAAGAGCTGATATTTAAGACAAGAAGGCAAGAAGAATAAAAGGAGTCTGCTAGGGACACAGGAGGCAAAGATTATTTCAGGAAAGGGCCAGAAAATGTTCAGTCCCAGTGTTGAGAAACTGCATAGTGTCTTTAAGGCATTTGGGAAAGGCTGATGAGTCTGAAGCATAATGTACCAAGAGCAAAGGAGCATGAGATGAAGTGAGCTTGAAGTAACAACGCCATCTCCCAGGGGCAGAGAAACGTTTTTCTGCCAAGGGCCATTTGGATATTTATAACATCACTCACAGGCCATATAAATGTATCAACTTAAAAATTAACTTTCTATATTTGGTCAAGCTAATTTGGTGAATTGTGTGATGATAGCTGGTATTGATTTCACGGGCCTTATATGGCCCTGGGGCTGGAAGTTCCCCACCCCTGCTAGGTCATTATTAAGAATGTTTGTTTATTTCTAAATATAATGTGAGGAGACTTTCTTTATGTTTTAGACCATTAGGATTTCATGTGGAAACTAGATTAGAGAAAGGGAAGACTAGAATCAGGAACACATGTCAGAGGCTTTGGCCAGGCATAATGGTGGCTGGCACTGGGGCTGCG